AGTGCTTCTGCAGGCTCTGAAGGCAAGGAAAGGGGGAGCCAAGGTGGATTTCCCTGTTTCCAACATGCAGGATGAACGTGCTGGCCACTGACAACGAGTCCTACCTGAAGAGCTGTCGGTACAGCCAGGAGCATCCCTACTGCCCCATCTTCGTGCTGGGCAACATCGTCCGCTGGGCTGGGGGCGACTTCCAGGAAATGGCCTTGCAGGTAGGAGTGCCCGGGGCTCCTGGGTGTTCCCAGCTGGATCACTGCTCACCAGGAGGCTCTGAGAGTCACTGCCCTGCCAGCTGCCTCCTGCACTGCACTGCACTGCACAGGTGCCTAAAGTCAAGCTGGTCTCATTTCTCCTGTCCCCAGGGAATGAGGGTTCCCTAAAACAGCTGGTTGTGTCAGTTATCTCCTATTCAGAGTTGCTTCTATTCAAACTGCTGCTCTGCCAGCAGAGGTTATTTGTTTAATTTCAATATTACTACAGTGCTGGTTTAAACCCAGAACTCTGGAAATCCATCCCTGCATAAAAGATCATCTTCCCCACTGAAGCGTGGAATGGAATTAAATCAATGTCCTGGGATGAGAAACCTCAGGGAGAAGTGGGGTTGTAGAGTGTTACTGGGATTAATGTCACACGCCTGAACTCAGCCCAGGCAGGAGTGTGTCCCCCTTGTTTGACCAGAAGTGCAGCTGCTTCTTGCCCCTGGGGAAAACCTGCCCAAGGGTCTGACAAACTTGAAGACACTTTAACTGAACTAAGCTTAAACAACTCCCCCTGTCTCTCTCTTTTAAGGGTGGTGTGATAGGAATTCAGATTGAATGGAACTGTGATCTTGATAAAGCCCCTTCTGAATGTAATCCTCACTATTCTTTTAGCCGGCTGGATAACAAGTCTGCAGAAACCTCCATCTCTTCTGGCTACAACTTCAGGTGGGTACAGAGGAGGGCACAATGCAGTGCCACAGCTGGGCTGGGCTGTTTGAGCTTGCAGGTGCTGGAGGTTGGCAGTGGAGTGGCACCAGCCTGTGCCAGGCCCTGCTGCAGCCGAGCACAGAGCGCTGCAGAGGAGGGAGGGAGGTAGAAATTGCTCCTGGCAGGCTAAAGCTGGCTTTGATAAGGGAACAGATCTCTTTGGAAGGATGAAAGGCTTCAGATGGGCAGGTGGAATTAAATCCAGCATTGCTGTATTCCAGGTTTGCCAAGTATTACCGGGATGCTGAGGGAGTTGACTACCGGACGCTCATTAAAGCCTACGGAATCCGCTTCGATGTGATGGTGAATGGCAAGGTGAGGGCCAGGCCAGGGTGGGCCAGAGCCTGCAGAGGAAGGAAAGAAGTGGGGGGAGGCAGCTCTGAGGTGAGGACAGCCTCTCTGGCTTGTTGTAGAAAGGGCTTTTCCCATCCATCCATGTGGAGCCAATGCCCATGTAAGAGAGATGACCTGCAGTGCAGCTGAGCCTGCACCTCCTCTACTTAAAACCAGGCTCATGTAAAGCTCGACAGAAATAAATGTGCCCCAGAGACTTGTTTTCCATGCGTAAGCACTGCAGAGAGAAAAGGAGCCTAATCCAGGGATGATGCAAGCTCAGAAACGCAGCCAGGGACAGTCAGACCTAAGACACACAGACCTTCAGCCTCCAAGATTGCTCAGTGCAAATCCCCCCTGGTTGTGCCTGGGAACAAAACACACCCAGGGGCAGCAGCAGCTTCCCCAGGGCAGTGCCACACCCTTGGGTTTGTTTTGTGGGTTGTTCTCTCAGTGGTGACTTCATGACCTTTGTTCTTCCAGGCAGGGAAATTTAACATCATCCCCACCATCATCAATATCAGCTCGGGGCTGGCACTCATGGGAGCTGTAAGTTAATGTTTTGTGTTAAAGTAACCCCAGGGGACCCAGATTCCAAATGGGATGAGAATGGGATGGGGGGTTTAAACCTTCTCCAGCAGAATCTTTACTACTTGGATTACTCAGCCAGGTGTGTGTTTGTGTCCTATCTTAAAACCATTTGTTAATAAACCTGATAGTCTAAACATCCACACAGGCTATATATTATATATACATACCCTGGAGAATGAAGGAAAACACTGCTTCTACAGTGTTTATAAATTATGATTTCATTAATGTTTATTTCTAATGACATCAAGAACACTTCCTCTTTTGTTTCAAAGATTAAACAAAAGTTTTATCCCTTTGCAGGGAGCTTTCTTTTGTGACCTGGTGCTGATATACCTGATCAAGAAGAGTAACTTTTATCGAGGCAAAAAGTATGAGGAAGTCAAGTAAGTGAGCCTGGCTTTGTGTTAAAAATCATGGTTTTTTTTAAGAGAGATAGAAAAGAGGAGATATAGGAGCACAGTTCCAGGGAAATATATTCTTCCAAATGATTTTGGCCAAGTTCTTGGCTTCCTCTGTAATTCCTTGCTGCAGTGAGCTGGGGATCACAGGCAGCTGCTGTGTCATGGTTGGACTGGCAATGGCCTCGTGCTGTTGGTCCCTCATGACCAAGGGTGGAACTGGGGCAGCTCCAGGAGCCTCGTGAAACTGCAATGTGGAGGGGCCTTTGGGTAAGGTGAGACAGGCCTGGCTGGGAACATTTTTGCCTCCTGAAACAATCCCAGGCTGCTCATCCTGTCCCTGTGCCTGTTTCCCCAGGTCCAACTCCAGGAAATCCTTGTCGAGCCCTACGCTGAACGGGAATCAGAGCCCGGAGCAGCTCGATGGGCTCTAGGCACAGCAGAGGCTCTGCCAGCTCCAGGAAACCCACACAGGTGTGGCACCACACCAGCACTGGGAGGTGGACATAGCCCAGATCGGGCCTGCTATGATCAGGATTCCCAGAGGAAAAAGCCTTCTCTAAAGACTGCCTTTCTTCCCTGAGATCTCTCTGGGATCCTGAGCTTGTAACATGTGTCGTCACTATGGATTTATAAAAGGATTTTTATAAAAGGACAAAGAAGGCACCAAATGAATGTTTTTATATCCACTGGTAGATATATCTGTACTTATACCAATAGCCAGTGTTGTCCTGTGGCTGTGCTTTGCTTCCATGTGGAGAAAGGCTGTGATGGGAGCACTTTGGGAAGGGCTGAAGCTGAAACCCAACTGTGGCAGCCACCGCCTCCAGCTCCTGCCTGGGTGATGCTGTGACATCAGGCGTGAAGCAGCAGGACTGCTGTGCTCAGGAGAGGCAGGGAAATGTGGCACTGGAGCTGGGGCTGTGCTCCTGCAGGGCCTGAGGCAGGGGGGACAGTCACTGAGCAGCAACGTGGAGCCCCTGCACAGCTCCTGCCTCCTGTGCCTGCTGTCATTTGCTGGGACTGTCCTCGCTGCACCACTGCCTGATTTCTCATGCTGGGCAGGTCTGGATGGGCACTCAGTGCCTCTGTTCCTAACAGACTAAGAGGGGCAGCTCTGCCAGGGCCACAGGCTGGGCCAGCCTCCTCCAAATCCACCAACAGCAGGGAAAGTTAGGACCTATCTGCCTGCTACTGCAACACCAGTGACCTCCAGGAAACACAAGTGCTTGTCTCTCAGCAGAATCACTCTCCCTGCAGCCCATTTTGTCCATTTATCTCATGTGAGGATGTAACCAATCTCAGAAAAGGGCTTAAGGAATTTCATTGTGTTCTGTACATGCTGCCCCATCACCACAGACTGGGAGCTGTCCTGATGAAGATTAAATGTTTCTGTGCATGCTTTGAATACCAAAAGTTAAAGATGCTCCTGCTGCAGCATCTGAGGGTGGCATCAGGGAGCTGCTGCCATTGAGTGTCTGCACAAATGGCACCAGCAGCTGCACCCACCTCTGCTTCAGCTTCTTTAAGGTTGTTACTCTGAGGTACAGGTTCATCCTAAATTAAAATTCACCTGTTAGTGGCAAACTCTGAACCCAGTCACTGACAGCAAACCCCACCCAGTCTAGTTCCCTCTGCTTCTGTGTAGGGACCCAAAACTGGGGCTAGAAAATAGAATTAAACACTGGAGTTGATTTAGGACAAGCTGTGTACCTTTGGTGCTCTGATCTCACCCAAAACCTTCTCTCCATGTCAGAAGTCTCTCCTCAAGGCAAACAAGAGTCACCACATAAGAAACTGCACAGGAGCTCCCACCAGGCTTTTGACTGCCAGGGTTTAATTGGAGTTGAGCAATTTCTAGATGGTGAAACACAGAGTGAACCCCCTGTGTGACATCAGGGCCTGGCACAACTCCTGGCACGCAAGCAGCTCCTCCTGACGTGCAAAGCTGACTGTGCTCTGCTGAAACCATTGTTTGAACTTGCCAAAACATCCTCCTGTGAGAGGACCAAAGCTATTTCCTGAATCTAAGTCTCCAGGCCTCCCAGATCCCCTAGAATGTTTCCTTTCTTTAGGCTGTGTAACACAACTCCTACAACCCCTGCTGTTAATAAAACATAACCAGATTCCTTCTCAGGAGCTGTCTCTTGACTTTGACTCTTTTTTTTTCTCCTTGTGTTTCATGTTCAGCAATAAACTGTGTCACTTTAGGCCAGTGCTCCCTGGGAGTGTTCTGGAAGTGTTTTTTCAGGTCAAACCACCTGGTGTGGTGATAGTGATGTGAGCAAATCAATGAGTCACTTATTTTGGCAGGAACAGGGCTAGAGGAAAGGCATTACCTGGATGGTGGGTGATGGATTTATTCCCTTTTGTGGCTTTTCTGGAGACCAGTAACAAGCACCTGTGCCAGTGCCATTTACTGATGGCAGTCAGGGAAGAGAACATTTGCATGTATGTTTCTGTACCAAACCTTTACATCAACTTAATTATTTTCTTGTGTCAGTGGAATTATTTTAAAATAATTTGGTTATTTCAGAATGCTGTGTTACTACTCCAATATTTGTGTGTAGCACATCCAGAGAGGATTGTAATTGGTGTGTGTATCCAAACCACAAAGGATACAAGGGACTATATCAATCAAACCCCACAGCTATGCCTGTTTCTAGGGACAGAAATTATCCTTTAAAAAGAAAACAAATACAGGAGGCATCCAAACGGTGCTTCACATTCAGTTTAATTAGAACAGTGCTACTGATTAATTCGTACTTGGACATAATTTACCAACAGCATTAACGACACGAGCCACGGACAACAGTTGGGAAAGTGAGCTGGCCTATGGTGTAGTGACTTTTGGCAAGAGTCCTGCAGCTCCGGCAGCGGCGAACATTCCGTGCATCAGTACACGTGAACCATTCCGTACAGGAAAGTCCAGAACAGGACGTAGGTGAAGAGCCCTCCCACGAGCCCCCCCGTGAACAGCGGCCTCCGCGACTTGAAGTACTTGTTCCACCGCCGGCCGGCCTTCAGCACAAGCAGCACGGACAGGAGGACGGAGGCCAGGAAGTAGAAGATGAAGCCGTGCAGGCCGGTGAGGCCGAGGATCCCGGCCGTGGCTCCCGACAG